CGCCTCCACCGCCGCCTCCGCCGCCGCTGCCTCCGCCACCGCAAATTTTACAGGACTTCTTACAGTTTTCTCTCATATACTGTTCGTATTTGCCTTTGCAGTATCCTTTGCTTTCCCACCGCGGACAGTTTAAGTTTTTATCCTTGCATTCTGGAAGAAGGCACAGTAAATGAAAAGAAGAACAAAAAGAGGAACAAGAGGAAGACAAGTAAAACGATATGAACTCCAACAACGCGTACAGCAAGATTACAAGAGCGAAAGGAGGAGAAGGAGAAATAGATAAACTATAGGGAGAGAAGAGTAAAAGAAAATATAGAGGAGATTAAATCGAACTGATTAATGATGAATAACTTTTTTTTATAAATTTAATCTATAATAACAAGTTATTTAGAATGTTCAAAATACCTTCTCCTCCTCCTCCTCCTCCTCCTCCTCCACCGCCATCACCACCACCACAAAGGTTACAGCTCTTCTGACAGTTTTTTTTCATATACGCTTCATATTGCCCTTGGCAGAAACCTTTTGATGCCCAAGAACCGCAATTTCTATTTTTGTCCGCACAACCTAGAAAAATGATAAAAACCCACGGTTTTGATTTTATCCAGTGTTTAAGTTGTGGAAAATAAACAAAATTTTAAAATTTTAAATTTGCAGTCAATCAGTTTTTAGGAAAGAGATAAACAGTGAAGTATGGAAAACATGAAATAAACTTGAATTCCGAGGCTGACTGATATTGGGACAATCAAGCACTGAATATTGCAAATTGCTAGTCATTGGCTCGTTAGAATTCCCCCCGTCCCCCACCAATTTGATCGTTCTTCCGTTTTCAGACTTCTTATAAACCTCTAACATGACTGAAGCTAGATGCTAATGCTTTTAAAGATCGTCAACTACACGCGTACATACTTGATGTACTTAAACAACTCTATTACAACAAAAAAGCCTCTTTTTTTCAGAATTTTCAAAGTAACAAATTAAATGGAAATCTCGTTGCTAATTTTCTGAAAAAAAAAGAAAATCCCTGGATTCAGGATTAATTTTTACAGCCGAAGGTGATTGTTGTAGTGAGGTATAGCACCATTACAGAAGTTTTCATTGCAACCTTGCTACGCACCATATAAGGAGCGTTAATTCTCTGGCTGACGAGCAAGGCTTTTGATCGATCAAGTGGCTCCTTGTGCGCAAGGTAAGGCCGGAATGAGCAGCCTTCCACAACATATACAAAGCGCAAGTCCTGTTAAAGATTCCTTTTCCCTCACAGATATCAAAAGCTTCCTTCACTTGAAGATTATTTGCTCATACGAAGATATACAATGATGAATAAAGTCGTTTTAACCTTGTATACCTAACTCAAATTATTTGCTCTACTGTATGGAAAAGAGATGTGTTTAACCTCACCTTTTGAGAGGGATGGCATAAAGATGCCCACCAAAAGTGCAACAATGATTAACATCTCGCCGATGGTTTTTTGATCGGACGACGTGATGCATATCCTTTTATCTAACTTCTTCCATCAGATAATTATACAGCTGGTTGAAAGCCTTTAAACCGCTATGGTCACTTCCATGACTTCTTTTTTAAACATTCTTTGTTATGATGATAATAGCTAATAACAACTATTGAATTTCAGAAATCAAAGAAGATGTCAAGCTTTTTGTCACGATGGCATGAGGTATCAGCCGAAATAAAAAGTCTACTGACGACATTTAGATGCTACAAACACAGGTTGACTAAGATTTGCTTGTTGAGTTTAGCCATCTGCTTAACCTGGATAATTGTTTTTAGCTCTAACCATGGTAACTATTGCAAAACAAGCTAGGGAATATAACTAATTTAATCTTGGTAAGGTTCTCTTTGTAAATCTCATCTAACATGACAACTTTACGAATTGCTTATATAAACAATTTTTGTTCTTATTCAAGAGGCCATTCTTGAGGAACTGAAAGTGGGTATCAAATCATATCTTGAAATGACTTTTGAAAACGGCAAGGAAAATATCTTAATCCCGTAATATAGGTTGATTTATGTTTAGCTAGCTGGTAAACCTGAATATCAAACACTTCCCCTCTAGTTATAAAATTTATCATAACATCTTTGTTGAGTAAAAGCCATAGTTAGACGTTTTCAACTATCAAAAAAGCTTTCTTTTACCAATAAATTCAGTGCCATACGCCTTGTGAAATTTTAAAAGCTGCATTGACGTTGAAGCTTTAAAATCTTTATTTAGGAAATCAGTTGTGAGACATTTATCTAGCTTGATCCAAACGAGTATAGCAAATACCTTTATTGAACTACTTTGATATTTTGGCAGCTGTGTCTCAGTTTTCTGCTGGACGTGAACACCTCGATGAAATTTTTGTATCAAAGAATTATTTTCAAATTATTGAAGTCACTCTGACGTGTTCGAAGACAAAGAATAGTCATCGAAAAAATGCATAATTGACAGGCAATAAGTCCAATCAGTTTTATCATGGTGTGGAACACGAATACAGCCTCGCTTCTTGCGTTTGTCTCCTGGATAATTAAGACTCCGATTTTTTTGTCAATATATAAAATAAAAGCTATGCTGGGCCAAAACCATTCATAGCGTTGCTTGTTCATCAGCCGAGTTTACAAATAAAAGATCGTTGTTGGGCAAACAATGAGTAATCTCTTAAACTGATGATGTGCGTTTTTCATCAATCGTCTTCATCTTTCTTTTCAGAATTCTTAAACGGTTTTCTCGACCTCCCAATTAACCAATCATGTCCCTTGTCTTATAGCAATCTTGTTACTCTGAATTATATTTGTGCATACGCGTATCCTGTTAAATTAGCGAGCTTCACGAAATATAAAAAGTGTTTCAAACTACTGATCAATAATCAGGCAATGAACTTGCCACTGATCACTCGCAAAGAAAAGACATTACAAGAAAAAAAAATTGGGGTCGGCCAATTCTGCTGATAACATGTGAAAATGGAATTTGCTTTCCAGTTGGGGTGAGTTTTTTGTTGAAATCAAAACATCGCCATTTACCTTTAATCAGTTTTGAAATGTATGATTTAAATTATTGCTGCATTTAAAGAAAAATTGTAAGCAGATTCTCATGGAGGGCAAAATGACAGCTTGTTTTAAGAAAATGTGAGGTTTCTAAACGTCTGTGAAGGAGATTGTTAGCTTTATTGGCTTTTTTCAGGCAGTGTAATGCAAAACGCCTTTCACTGCAAAACTGTAGCTAAAAACCTGAAGTGAGATTAAACGGATAATTGAAATCCTAGCAAAAGCCTTTGCAGAAAGTTTGTGCGATGAACTCAAGTGAAAAATGTATTGTGCCTTGGCTTTGAAAGTAAGCATTACCTACGATACTACTGACTCAATATTTTGTCGAGTTGGCTTATGTAATTGGGACAGTTTCTCTGTGTGACGAGATCCTGGAATGGTAACACAAAAAAATAACTTATCCTTGATTAAATGAAAATGTTTTAAATAAAAGAATTTACTGCGTCTAAAAGACTGAAAAGACGCGTGAAGAAGATAGAAGGACAAGATATGCAGCCTTGGTCTCGGCTGAATAATCCCTCGACGCACTCAACGCATACTTCCATAACTGAAAAGATCGCGTTTCGTTTGAAAGCTACTCAGCTCCTAGATGACTAAACTAAAACGGAACAATAGGTAGCCGAGGTAAACTAAGCAGATTGCTTAGAGCGCAGGAAAACGAAGGTGTTTAAGTCGCGATCTGTCTAGCTTCCTAGCAGACAGGATGGTTTGACCATTCTAGAACTGAACGTGAAAAAGTAGAACTACTGCACTGCTCTTTGCTTCGCAAAGCTTTCGAGGCTTACCTCCACCGCTTCCTCCTCCTCCTCCTCCTCCTCCTCCTCCTCCGCCGCCGCCACCGCCGCCGCCACTTCCGCCACTACCTGTGGTGAAGGGAAATTTGACGTATTTATACAAAGTGCACTCTCGACCTTCATTATATCATGATAAATCCTCTTCGTAGACGGTGTCGCAGAAACCTTAGGCTTGACTAATTACATTACGTAAATTGTCAACTTCTAGGCCCATTCTGCCAGTAATTAAGAGTATATCATGATAATCACAATAATTATGATAACAACGATAAGGATTAGGATGAGAGAAGAATTGTGAATCCCAGGGTTTAAGTGGTCGGTTCGTCCCAAAACAGGAAAAAAAATGTCCGTTATCGTGGGGTTGGGCAAACGTTTTGGAAATTTTCCGTTGGAGC